TAAGGGCATAATGGTACTTTTGCCTACCAAAATGGCTAGATTTTGGGTGTGTTTGACACGTATAATAAGCTAGCTTATAGCTTATTTGGTTAGCTTATAAGCTTTCTGTATCAAATAAGCCCCGTTTAGTAGGACGAACTTATTTAAAAAGCTCGAGCTTATTTGATAAGCTTGTTTAGGTAGCGTTTCAAAATAAGATAGTTGACTTTTTTTATTTTAGCTAGCTTATAAGCTAGTTTTACCAAACACTTTTATCATATAAGCTAGCTTTTCAGCTATAAATCATAAGCTATAAGCTATAAGCTAGCTTCTAGCTTATCAGCTACCAGCTAGCTTATAAGCTATCAGTTAGCTTATCAACTAGGTTTACCAAACACACCCTTTATATTTCTTACAAAGATGGCTATATTTCATCTACTACTTTAAAAAAGTGCTATATATCTCGGGCTCTGTAAATAAAATGTTGTGGGATAGTGGGAGGGGTAATTTCCTCAAAAAGTTAAATAACTATATGGACAAAAAAAGCTAGTTTTTGGCAAAAAGCATTAACCAAACAAGCCCATTAATGTAACTACAAAATAAACTAGCTTGTTGCTCTTCCTCTCTCTCTCTCTCTCTCTCTCATTTTTTGCCCTTCATTCCATTGCCATCTTTTAATAGCATCTATGCTTATGTATTTGTAGAAGTTCTATAGAATTTTATCATGTATACAGAATCCAATACATATATATATATATTTTTTTATTTTCACCAGATTACTTGCCCACATAATGCAAAATCAAACCCTTCAATTCCAGCCTCTTCATAGTCCCAGAGCCTGATTGGATCCCAATAAATGTTATAGCCAATTTAAAATCTTAACTTTTGCAATCGTTTGTGTGTTGTTTTGATGGAAGTAAACACATTTTGGATTATATAACTGAGTGGGCTCTTTTTAATCTTATATTTTTTATTGGTGTTCTGTAAATTACAATGGATTTTGTTGTGGATTCTGTAATATTTGTGGGACTTTCAGATTGATTATCGAAATTTGAGCTATAATTTTATAAGGGTATTGAAAAAATCGGTTTTCGATCTTGTCGGTTGAGAAATCGATTATGGATCATCATATTGTTGGTGGGAAGTTTAAGCTGGGGAAGAAGATAGGTGCTGGATCTTTCGGACAGCTCTATTTAGGTAGAATTTTATTATCTTTCTGTGTTATTTATTATTATTGTTGTTGTTAGGCATGTTGCTTCAGATGATTTTTGTGTAAATGTTCATTGTGTTCTTTTAATTTTGTTTTAGGGGTAAATGTACAAACTGGAGAAGAAATTGCTGTGAAAATGGTGAGTAGTTTCTATCTCAAAAATTTTAAATCTCGAAAGAAACGACTGTTCAATTTTTGTATCTTTCTACATGTGCGAATCGAAACATCGACTTTCTGGTGTTTAGTAACAGAAAGGAGACGTCCTTTTATTCGGTTTTTCTACTTACACCACTAATACTAGCAAAATTATTCATTTTTGTGAACTTTTGTAAGCACAAATTCAGAATGTACCTTCTAGCTTTAGTCCAATTAAAAAAAAAAAAAGTTTATCGTTAGGAGTCAATAATTCCCCTCCACATTTGTTTCTTTACTAATTTTTCATCACCAGGAGGTGGCATTTTTGAGGTCAGCACCAATGTCAAGCGAGTGTTTGTAATACTTTTAGAGTATAGTTGTAATTTTAGGAAATAATTGAATTATTTATCGTGATTAAGCTAACTTAACCTTTAGGGTAGTATTTCAATCATCTCATAGTTTTGTATCTTGATCCTTTGGAGCCAAATAACTTTTATCGCCTTTTATTTTCTCCAGGAACCTGTCAAGACCAAACACCCGCAGCTCTATTATGAATCGAAGCTGTACATGCTTCTTCAGGGAGGAAGTGAGTGGTTTTATTTCGTTAATGCTTAACGATTAAAAACTCATAAGACAAGCTCATTTGCATTTCCTTATTTTATTTATTTATTTATTTATTTATTTTTTATTATGAAGCTGGGATTCCTCATCTTAAATGGTTTGGAGTTGAAGGCGAGTACAATGCCATGGTTATTGATCTTTTAGGACCAAGCTTAGAAGATTTATATAACTATTGCAGTCAAAAGTTTTCATTGAAGACAGTTTTGATGTTGGCCGATCAATTGGTAAGTACGAGTCCATTACCGAACATAGGTGATTTTATGCTGTTGTTGCCTTAGGTTTTCCTTTCTTCATATTATTTATTTTCTAACTGAGATGCATCGCATGTAGATAAGTAGAGTGGAATATGTGCACTCTAGAGGTTTTCTTCATCGTGATATAAAGCCCGATAACTTCATAATGGGTTTGGGGCGCAAAGCGAATCAGGTACTTTCCTTAGTTATACATGTATGTGTGTTGTGTGTGTGGGTGTGTTTTCTCCTTTTTCCTTTTATCTAGGTCATAATTTGATATGACTTCTAGCAAAACATAGATATTTATGTATAAAATGAGAAAAAATTTGTGAGCTGACTAATATGATACATTCATAATAAGAAAATGCAAAAGAAATCATGAGATAACACTATTTTTTATGAGTTATATTTGCCTGAAACAGGTGTATATCATCGACTTTGGACTTGCAAAGAAGTACAAAGATCTTCATACCCATAAGCACATACCATACAGGTATCAGTTTTAATTATACATTCTTTGTCTATATCTTTTTCTCTGAGATGTACTTACAACTATGTTTCTTAAAAGGAAAACAATAATGTTTTGCACCATTTATCTTGTTTCAGTCAGCTGAGCTACTGCGATATGAACTGTTGTAGGTTTACAATTATTTTATTATCTTCTATCGCCTAAAAAAACTTAATCCTTAATTAGTGATATGTAGAATAGAAATGCCCTTATGAGTGCTGGTGGTGGGTACTTGAACCTTTTTCTTTCATGCTTCAGAACTCGGCACTTGGTTGGATTACACAATGCTTTTCATTTCTTGACAAATATTATCTTGATTGGAACTTCTTTTCAAACATTGAAGCAAATTTTTTTTGGTTTTGTTTTGTTTTGTTTTGTTTGTTCTTGCTGGATTGGTGCTTCAGTTGAGTATTTTCAGCTATCATACACAGAGACGATCATCAACTCCTGTTGCATTAATGCATTGTTGTCTGTGAATTTTAATCCTCTTTAATGATTTCACAATTGTTTTTTGTTTCATTTATCCTATAATGATTTTGTCTTCAATACTTTGTTGTGTTTTTACTGTTTCTCAGAGAAAATAAAAATCTCACCGGTACAGCTCGATATGCAAGTGTAAATACCCATCTTGGAGTTGGTGAGTGCAGATCGTGTCGGTAAACCGAAAGGAAATTCCAGTTTTTCTTTTTCTTTTGTCTCCTTCCATAATTTTATGATTCTTGTGATTTTATTATTACTATTATTATTATTATTATTATTATTATTATTATTATTATTATTATTATTATTATTATTATTATTATTATTATTATTATTATTATTGTTTTTTTTTGTTTCAGAACAAAGCAGAAGGGACGATTTAGAATCTCTTGGCTATGTATTGATGTACTTCCTTAGGGGAAGGTTGATTACAAGGCCTTTACTATAATTTCGTCATTCTATTTTCGAAATCCAACATAATTTGCTAATCATGTTTTTGTTACTTGTTTTATTTTAGCCTTCCATGGCAAGGTCTCAAAGCTGGCACAAAGAAGCAGAAATATGAAAAAATAAGTGAGAAGAAGATGCTTACACCCATAGAAGTATTACAACTTGCCAAACCTTGTGTGAACTATTCGTCATTTATCTTTCTTCTGGACTGACGAATTATATCCTTAATTTTATTTCAGGTTCTGTGTAAATCTTATCCATCAGAGTTCATATCGTATTTTCATTATTGTCGATCATTGCGGTTTGAGGATAAGCCTGATTACTCGTACTTGAAGAGATTATTCCGTGACCTTTTTATTCGGGAAGGTAAATATGATGAGAGATTTTGGAAGTTTCTATGCCTTTACGTTTTATTTCCTAATCCCTTTCAAATCCATCTTCACGAAATAAACTTAATGGCATTTTTCTACTTAATGCTATTGTGGAACAGGTTACCATTTTGATTATGTGTTTGACTGGACTATACTTAAGTATCCGCAAATCGGTTCAAGTTCTAGAACAAGAGTTAGTATTTGAATTAATTTATCCAATCTAGCATAACATCGGCCAATTCTAGCTATTTATCTAGTGTGATCTTTTTCTGTCAGCAGGCAGCAGGGAAAATACCTTTGAACTTAGGACCATCTGCAGAAAGGAAAGAAAAGACTCCAGGTCTGCTTGCGATTTATGGAATGTCTATTGTATTTTCTTGCTAAAATTATGCTAATCAAGATGACATTATGCGGTAATGATATTGCACACCTGCTTGTTGATATCGTGAAGATGTAAGTACTGTTGATCATGATTGTCCCGATAAAGAAAATGGGGATGTGGAAACTTATGGGTTTTCTCGTTGTTTAGATATCTTGGTCCCTCTGTGGCACTTGTGTTATTTTCTTTTACCGATTTATCTGTGAGGAAAGAAAGGAAAACAGAGTGAACATACTTCCTGACGGGTGAAATTAGGCACTGACGGCTCAGAATTCTGAAATTTCGATATATAATATTTGGGAAGAGAAAGCTGAAAAAGGCCTCTCTCTGTCTCACTCTTTCTCTGTCTCTCTCTTCCGTTCAGTTGGAGTAACACTTGAGATTGATTAACAACATGAGCTAGCTAAAAACGTAGTATATAATATGTTTCCTTGCCATTATACCCAACTGTGAATGATGTGAAACTTTTTATTTTTTGTGTGATTAGTGAAACGAGATGTTCGAGATAGAGTCCCAGGTGCAGTGGAGGCATTTGCAAGACGAAAAGGTTCTGGTGCAGGTGTGCATGGAGAACACCGCACGAGACACAAAACTTCCGAGGATGTCCCATCATCAAAAGATGTGGTATGAAATTATTAGAATTTCATTTTGGCTATTTTTTCATGTTGTGCCTTTTTTTTTTTGATTGTTGCACTTTACCCTTTATCACGGTTCCTTTATGCCAATTATGCCAATTTATGTCCTTCATACAGTTTTCTAGAATTATTTCTGATAACTTGTGCGTTTCACAATTTGCTTCGTGATTTGTCCAGCAACTTTCCGACTCTGATAGGGGTCGATTGTCAAGGCCTGATAGTAGCTCAAAACGGGCCACCCTATCAACCAGCCGCCCCAGCTCCGCAGGTGAGCCCGGTGAAAATCGTCATACAAGGCTGAGCTCAGGCATCCACCGCTCATCATCCAACCGGAGATTGCCACCTGGAGTCGAGCCCAAGTCATCCTCCGTAACTCGCGCATCTGCTGCTAGAGGTGTCCGGGATGAAAATCTCAAGAGCTTTGAGCTATTGACTATTGGCACTGGAAGAAGGAAATAAATGGGTCATAAGTTAGTTGTATATAGTTTTGTCCAGAGATGGAAAATGGTATAATAAGTAATTTTATTTATTATGAAAAGTTTCCTTATTTTGGGGATATAATATGACAAAAAAAGAAAAATAAAATAAAAATTAAAAAACTAGGTAAACGTATTTGAAACTATTGTAGTTCGTTGTGTCGGTGATTATATTGTCTTCACTGAAGGTACCGGTAAAGATTGTTGTTTTTGTGCAAGCCACGAGTTAAATTCTATAATTTAAACCTATGAGCAATGTAACCAAAGGTTTAGCGTAGAATACCAACGACTTAAATTTCGAAGACTTAGAGACATTGTAGATTTTTGTTAATGGATATTGGTTGATTGCACTTCGTTGGAAAATCGGCTCGTCAGATGTCTCGGAGTCACTGAGATGGTCGCGCGATCGGACTGGGTCAGCACCGCGATTGTCTTCCCTTATGCCATGGTCATCAATCGCATACTCTCGGTGGCTTTGCTCTGCAAATCAACAAGCATATGTTTTCGTCTCAACATTAAGTAAAATTTTTCCCCTCTTTGAAAGGACCAATTGTCTATCGTTTCGACCAAAAAAAAAAAGAAAGGACCAATTGGAAGAAGAATAAAGCCAAAACAAGAAGAAAAAAGAAGGAACCTGTGGGCCTTCTATTGATACCCAAAATCTGTCGATTTAGATTACACTCTGCCAATAAAGTGATGACAAAGATAATAATCCTTTACCAGCAACATCACCAGGGACCAAGAACAGATAGGCCAAAACAAAATGTGCCGGCCTCCAAGTCGACCTCTCCTTGTGTGCCGATCTCACTCCAAACTGCAAGGTAATCGGACTAACGAAGTCACCTTCCCACATCGACCAGGAGCAAAGTTTTCTCCTTGCTGATCTCTACCAAGTGTAAAAAAGGTTGCTATCTGGAAACACTTCTCACAGTCCAAAAAGATAATCCTCTTAGACAAGTTGCGAGGAAACTTGTTGCAATACATGTCGGTAGCCTCTCCGCCATGTGTCCCGTTATATAAATAGCAGGGTCTTGAGGCTTGAAGAGGGCATTCAACTCCATTAAGCTCACCAAAAATACTCGCAAAACACATGAATATGCTAACATTTCGTGTCGCCTTTCTAGGCTTTATAGCCTTTAACAGATTCTAGCGTTAAAGAGGTCCATGAGCGGCCCAAATCCCAGAATAGAAATTTCGGTGCAGGAACTTTAATTTGTCTGACAGTTCTATCGTCTTCGTTTTTTTCTTTCCTTCATTGTTATCTCTCTAATCTCATTAAAACATTACTTACATCCTAAAATGTCATCAACGATTCCGTGGTCAAGTTGACGAAAACAAACGTAAACAGTAACATATACAATATAATTTCTAGTTTTCTTAAAAAAAAAATAAAGTTCCAAAGACTAACTAATTATAGTGAGTCATATTCTTGTTACATGGATGCAAACTAAGAATTATTAATAAATAGTAAATACAAATATCGGATGGAAATCCAAATTTGTAGGCATGTACCGATGTAGAATGCGCGCGCATTTAGAAAATCAGTTGCCAAATTGTTTTGATACACACATAAACAAATCACACTACAAATTATTTGTTTCATCCGTTTATGTCGATTTAGCTTCACGCGATTTTTCGAAATTGGTAATCGAAAGATAACGGTAATATTGTCGCGCGTATGATTTTTCGTTTAAGGAATCTATTAACTCTCTCAGGAATCTTCATGTTGAACATTTTATCTAATTTTATTTGCAGAAAATTGGAAAAAAAAAAATGGCAGACTCTGTATTTGGCCCCTGTCTTGAAGGGATAAAGCATATAAAATCTGAACAAGGAGATATGATGACCAAGCCTTTATTGGATGTCTGCAAACTCATACTGCCCATTTTAGGTAGGTCTAATGTATTATTCTCATTATTCATAAAAATTTGTGGGGTTTACAAAAAATTTAATTTTTTTATTTGGTAATTATAGATAAATTTGGAGCAGCTATGACTGTGGTAAAATCCGATATCAATGGTAATATATCGGTAAGGCTTCATTCTTTCGGACGCTTACTATAAATAAAATATATGAACATTTCATCAATTTGTAGTTTTACCGGTTTGATGCCGTGAAAATAATTATATATCTTTCAGTGATTAAGATTTTTTAATCATCTCGACTGCATATGATGAAAACTTTATTAGCATGTAGTTTTGCTCCACATGCTGAGATTTCTATTTTTTGTTTTTCATTTTTGCTTTGTAATCCTAGAGGCTGGAATCTAAGTACGACTCGAATCCCTCCAGATTCAATTACCTCTACAACTTGGTACAAGCCGAAGTCGAAACAAAATCCGCTAAAGCATCGTCTAGCTGTACCAACGGTCTCCTTTGGCTGACGAGGTTCCTCTTAATTTGTGACGCACTTTTGTTTATTTATTTCCGAACAAAATCAAGACTATTGTTTTTTCATCTATTCCAATGATCAATGAAAATCGACCTTTTTTTGCGTGTAATTGATTATGATTCGAGATAATACGACGATTCTTATTGAATGTTGCAGAGCAATGGATTTTCTTGTAGAATTGTTTCGTAATTTAGCTGATCATCAAGATTGGTCGATGTCTCAAGTTTGTAATGATGCGTACGGCAAGACCTTGAAGAAATGGCATGGTTGGCTAGCAAGCTCAAGTTTTACGGTAAATCTATACTACTCGAATTCGAACACACATAAATATGATATACATAAATGTGTATAAAATCTTTTAGCTCGTGCCAAAAAAAAAAAAAAAAGCTAATAATTAATTTCAAAATAATAATGGTATGTTTGATATTTTTTCATGATAAAAGGTTGCGATCAAACTTGCGCCGGATAGAAAGAAGTTCATGGATGTTATAGGCACAGAAGGCGACATCTATGGTGATATGCAGAAATTCTGCACGAATTTCTCGCTGATTCTTGGGGATGTTCATAAGTTCCTGGTGAGAATTTTTTTAGCCCATGCACATTAATTTGTGCACACCGGTCGAGCTTCATGCTCGAATTCATTTGTTACTGGGCAAAAAAGCCTGTTTTCTCAGTCCTATAGTTTAAATATCATGAAAAAGAAAATATGAATTATATGCTATACATGGATTTAATTTTCATGTATTTGGTCTAAGTTAACCATATTTATAACTTAGTTTTGGTTTTTGGGATGCAGGCAAGTGTGGGACTGGACAATATGAAGGCTTCATGATTAGACAATTTTTCTCCAACAAAATTCGCTCACATGTTAATTTTATGCGTCCCAGTCTCTTTTTCATTACCATTTTGATCTTTGTTGCTATTTTTTGGGAGTTTTCATTCCTTGTAAACAAGAACAATAGATCTCTTAAATCTCGACATAATTTCATTCACTAATATTAATTTTGATCGTACGAATGAGAAATAAGAAAAGAAGAAGTGCCTTTAAATTAATCTTTATTTAATAATTTTCGTGTACGAATGAGATTTCACTATCAAATACGTAAATTCTTTATTTAATAATTGACCCATAAAACAAAAGAAGAAGAGCCTTTCAGGAAGACTCCTCAAAGCCCTAGGTTACGAACTTGTTCAACAAGACAAATACTGTAAACAATAATAATAAAAGTATCATACCAAATGTATTTTTGATACTAATAATAAAAATAAACATATAAAATATTAATTACTAAATGTCGTCTTCATCATTTCTCTCCCGGTTGAGAAGTATTCACCCTCAAATCCTGCCAAATCTTGTCTTTATCATTCGGGAGCCTGGTGCATTTCGTGGACAAACATCGCGCGAGAAAGGAATAACACAGTGGATAGAGTAAGCGAACGAGGTTGTGATGGATGTAGAATTATGCAGACTCCGTCAAATAAGAAGCCATAAGTATTTGAGACGACCATCGTGAACCACAGCGCAATCAAACTGCTATGACGCCCCAAATAAAGATGACAGGCGTCCATAGACATGATGTCATACTAGACCTCATCCATTTACGTAGTCCCGCCATAAAAAGCAAACATACAACAACAATCCACCGTGATCGAACTCCCTCGCTGAATCCATGCAAGTGTCTATGGCTGCGGGCGAGGTTCACTCGACGAATGCAACTTCTCGACGGGCCTCCAATGCCACCACATTTTTTTAGGCACTAGATTCGATCATAAAAAGACATGCACGTCCCCCCAACTGTGTATGTGGACTCAAAGATACGATGGACTGACCGGTAACGTCGGGTGAGCGTGGAGAAATAAAAGAGATAGACGAAAGACAAGTGCATGACCCACGTCCCCAGAGACATGCTCCACTAGAACCTAAGGCTAGACATTGAAAATGAGAGGCCCCGTGTAATCACCCGACTCCGACTCTCGACAAATAAACCCTACGACCCACTCGCCTTCGGACATTTTGCCTAACGATTTCTCGGTTGACCTCGGGGAAGCAGCGCGGCGCGCCAAGCTGTCGATTGTTACCCCCAGCCATGGGACCAACCACACGGCCACCAACTGAAGCCCCTGCATCCGACCGAATATTCACAGTAACCCCCACCGTCCCCGTAGGCTGCTGCGCAGACGACGCAAATGAAGCGGTTGCCCTCCGGGCCTGCTGCTGTTCCACCAACAACGCCCTTCGATGTGCATCAAAGATCGTATTCGAAATAAAAAAAAATTAGCATATCTTGAATATTGACACGTAACCCACCGATGTAACGCGTAACAATTTGGTCCGTGGTTTCCCGAACATCGACACGCCTGAGGAGTCTATAAAACTCCTCCATGTATTCATCAACCGAGAGCGAACCTTGCCTCAAGTTTTGAAATTTCTCATACATCGTACGCACATAATTAAATGACAAGAATTCTCGTTTGAGATGCTTACGGATTCAGCCCCACGCTATGATTTTTGGCTTGCCCTGACGATATCGCAAATCCTTCAACTGCTGCCACCAAGCCACCGCCCAGCCCCGCAGTTGCTTCACGAAGAGGTTCACCCTACGCTCGTCCGACACTTCCTTGTATTCAATAACAGAATTGACGGCTGCCAACCAGTCGAGGAAGTCAGCCGCGTCTAGCCCGCCGGAAAATTCCAGGACGCCCTGTAACGCCCCGAATTTTATTAATAAAGGAAAATACTAGCTTTTAACTATAAGCTAGCCTTTGTTAATAAATATTCATGTTAATGTTCAAGTCTAAATTATTCAGTCAGTTAAATTCCGAGTTCGACGTTAGTCGAAAGTATATCCGGTTAATTTTATTTATTAACCGAGTTAATTCCAGTAATTAATCTCAGTCCGTTTATTTTTATAAATAGACATAGTAAGTTCGGAACTAATTATTCCAGTCAAGAGCATTCAAATTAAATTTCGAAGCCTCGTTTGTGTTCGGAATAATTTTTAGTATTTAATTTCATGTATTATAAATTTAAGTATATGTTTAGTGATTAATGATCATTGTTAAGCTTAATTATGTCATTAGCCATGCTTAAGGAATGAGAAATCATCCATAACGCCGTAAGTAAATACATAATAATTGGTGAAGGCTTTTGGGAGTAATTATTATAAGATCTCATCTTTACTACATGTCTTATGTGGCATTTTTTTAACTCTTGTGAGATGAGTAAGCAAATAGAAGTACACATTAGACCATTAAACGCATAGCAAGTGGAGTGATGTTATTGGCCATATTTTTTCCACTTTCTTTTCACCGTTTGCACCTTCTATTTATTGGAGTTAATTGGTAAATTTTACCATACATGCGTACAACAAATATTAAGTAGATAGTTAAGCTTAAGTTGAGAGAAGTGAGTGATTAAGAGTGTACCGCACGGAGAAGCCGCACGCACGCGCATAAGCACCAAGGCCGAGCATTCACGAAGAAGAATTTGTGCAAGCAATCGAGCATCGGAAGAGGTAATCACTTCTTACCTCTATTTCCATGTTAAGATAATCATGTTAGGTCCAATCCATGAATTTAGTCCATGAGCGTGCTAGGTTGCCTTCAAGCGTACCAACGAGACCATGTCGAGCGATGTTTGTTTTTATTCCGAAACTCTCGAGTAATTTACGTTTATTCAGCCCATATAAGCCATTTCATGTACAATTAGGTTAGGTTTGTTGAGGAAAGGTTATCGTTGTGCCGAGAGTTGGCCAAAGCCGTCGGGTACCACACATAGCGCAAGCCACGGTCCTTTTTATTGCTCGAGTTATGTTTATGTTATCCGACCGTTTTATGTATAACTATTAATGTTATAATCATTTATGTTAATTCATGTGATAAACGGTCGAAAGAATTGCCAAGTGGCCGAACATATCGGCCGTAGCGTCGGGTCGCGCCTACGTGCACGCTACAATCATTTTCCGAGCCATGTTAATGTATTTCTCGTGCAATTTCATGTGATTATGTGGTTATGGTCAGGTTAGGTTATATTATGTTGTTTCATGTTGAATTGGTCGAGAGAAGTCGTCGAACAGCCGG